TTGTTTCCAAAGTCTGGCAACTAGAAATAAAGCTATAAATATTTGTGTGAAAGTTCTGTGTGGACATAATTTTTCAACTCATTCAGGTAAATACCAAGGAGTGAGACTGCTGGATTAGAATATGTTTTGTTTTTGAGTTCTTGATTTTGATTTATCTTGTAGTCTGTAGGAGCACATCTACAAGTAATTTTTTTTTTTTTTTTGTCTTTTGTCTTTTTCCGTGTCTGGCAATGGATCGCAACCCTCAGTGTCGCCCCCGCACCGGACCGGGGACCGGCAACGGGATCGCAACCCTCAGTGCTGCTCCCACACCTCGCTCAGCCAGTGAGCGGGAACCGGTCTGTATGTGGGATCCGAACCCTCGGGCGGGAGCGCCGCCACGCTTCCCAAGCAGTGCACCTATCCAGTGCGCCACCAGGCCGGCCCTACAAGTAATTTTTTAAAGAAGGGTATGTAATGGGATACAAATGGTGTATTTTCTAAGAATATCTTTCTATTACCTTACAGAAGTCACAAAGGCTGAATTTGGTTCTGTTGATTGCTTTATCTCTTAACAAATGAGTAGGCTTTTTTCCTTTGCTTTTTTTGAGTCTATTAGTTTTTGACTGAATGATGAACAGGGTGTGCAGAACAGCAGTAAGTATCATTTACACCTGGAAACTGACGTGCCTATTCTTCTGTGAAGCTGTTAATGTGGAGGAGTGTAGTCAATCTAGTCAGGAATTGAGCTTGCTATGAATTTTACTGTTGTTATAGATACCTTCAGCATACCATAGGTTTCAAATTCCTCTACTGGTACATTACCATTGTGTTGTGCTTAGGAGCCAAAGAGTTTTTCTCAAATTTTCTGCTTTCAATCTTTCCTGAATACCAATACCACAGGGATTTCTCTCCACGCTCCTGACCTTGCCTAAACAGTAGAAGCTTTTGTTACTCAGTGCTAGACTCATTGCTGGGACAGGTAGGATTCTCTGTTGCTTTGGTCCAGCCTCACTCTTAGGTAGGTCCTGTGGTTCTTCTTCACGTGGCAGCTGAAATCTGCTTTATATTTACGTTGGTCTTAGGTGGGAGTTTCCAACTCCTTCTCCAGTAGTAAAAGGCCTTTTCCTGGTATTGGTGTAGGATGCAGAAGCCCAAAATGATTTTCTGCCCTTCTTTCAGAAGTGAAGGGTTTTCTCTTCTATCCTTTCCCCAGCAACAATAGGTCTTTGCCTGTATCCTGGGGGCCAGAGGGTTCCTTCCCCAAGAAGCAGAGGGATTTTAGCTTCTAATCTCCTTCCAGAAAACATATGAATTAAGGTTTTCTGCCCCTCCCTCATTGGTTTGAGGCTTAAAAGAGAAGGGTCTGAGTAAATGGGAGGGACTTTGTGTCTATCTCCCAGCAGCCACAGATTACCTCCTTCATCTCAACACCACAGAGATGGCTTTCTCTAGTCTCCTGCTTTGCCCGCTCTTAACTGGGAGTACCCTATGGAACCCCAGGGAAAGTGTCTGCAAGCAAGTATGAACTCTTTGTATCTGGGGCCCACAGATATTCTAAACTAGTCCATACTGGGTCTTTAGCAATTAGTTAAAATTTTAGGAGTTTTCCTCTTACCCACTTTTATGGCAGCCATTTCTTTCTCTTGTGTTCTGCTAAAGATGAAACAATTCATATGACCCGTTCCTTGGGGGTGCTTTCCACTTTGGAATTTAGGTTACTTGGTTGCTTTGCAAGCTCAGCTCTCTGACGGGCTCAAGAGAAGTTATGATTTTGTAGATTATCAATTTTTTTCTCATTGTGAGAGGAGGATGTTTTTTGCACACTCTTTACATCCTGAGTAGAAGTAGAAACCCCCTTCCATTTCAGTTCACCCTCCTTTTCTATTTTTGTAAAGACATCACCATTCTTACGGTCACCCAGATAATACCCACAGTATCTCTAACTTCTCTTCAAAGTAGAAACCCCCTTCCATTTCAGTTCACCCTCCTTTTCTATTTTTATAAAGACATCACCATTCTTACGGTCACCCAGATAATACCCACAGTATCTCTAACTTCTCTTCAACAATGAATCAGATAAATCACTAATATCTCTTCATTAGGGTCCTTTTTTTCCATTTCTGTAGTATAAGTACTTATCTCACAATGATATCTTATAACAATATTCCTTCAACCACTCTGTACTCTGTCTTCCTCTAATTAAACCTCACTTTACCATCAGACTGTCTTACACTGCTAATAATTATGGCCGTTATCACTCTGATCCATTCTGCCTTTACAGGCCACCTTTCTATAGGAACAGGTACTATATTCCATTTCCATACTGATCCAGCTCTTTTAAATTAACATCTGGAAATCTTATCATTCGAGCCCTATTACAAGGGGACATCTTACATGAAAAAATTCCCTGATCACACAGAATACGTCTCTTCTAAACTGTATGTTTAAAACAACAGCAAAAGAAACTATTGTTAGTCCAAGAAAGCCTATAAGGCTTTGCATAATACTTCTAAACTATGAAATAAAAATGTAGTCACTTTTCTGTAAAGCCACATAACATGGACATTGTAATTGATTTGGTTTTTAAAAAGAGACTTAAAATTAAAAATAAATTCTTAAAAACATAAATTATACATTGCTTTACTTGTATTATAAAAATAACACTAATCTGGACTAGCATTAAAGTTGTATTCATCACTTATATCCCTTGCTATACTGTAAACTTCAGAAAGGCAGAGATCACATATTATAAATTGTTATCTTCTCTGTTTTAACTTTCCCACATAAATGTCTATCTTGCAAATTAAAGTAAAACAGCAAAATAGAAAACAAAATAACATGATTTTCCTTCTTATCATCTATGCTCCTAATGTATCCCTGAGTTGGTCACTACAAAATTTCACCAGCCCATAAGATGTTGTCATCAAAAAAAGAGAAACACACACACCATCCAAGCATTTTCAGAGGAAAGCCCAATTAGGATTAGTTTAGGGACCTCCTATCACAGCCAACCATTTATGCTGCCAGAGTTAAATTTATAGTGGTAATCCCAAACACAAACACACTAAAGTCCCCTTTCTCGGTTCCATGTAATTAACACCGTAAGACAGCCACAAAGTTCACTAAGAAAAGCCGACGCCACTAGTAAAAAGAAATAAGCCTATCTACCTCACTGATTCTGCTAGTGCCTTATTTGGTACTTGTACTCAGGTATATTGCCAGGATGGAAAAGTGACATGCTTCTACTAAATCATTTTCAATAAACAAGGAAGGGTATTATCACATACAAACATAGGAAGAAAAAAGCAAAATTTTCTAATACTTCATGGCTTTTTATAACTACACTCTCAAGTGTATTTTTAAGAAATAACACATAAAAATCCTATATGCTATTTTAGTGCAAAGCCAGAGTAGGTATCATCCTTGCCAATTAGCTTTCCTGGCCAAGCTACAGCTGTCAGAGAAATTGTTCCTGGACCACACGGGTACCTGATTGTTTGACTAAGATAAAAGAGCAGATGTCTAAAGTGTATCTTTTTCATGCATTCTTGAGAAATGTTCCAAATGAAAAAAAATGGTTTATTTGCTAAAGCAAATAAATAATGCAACTAATGGGTACCACTATGAATTTAACACAGAACTGTTATCTAAACAATTCAACTTTTAGTAGTTTAATATGTGAAGATAATCATCTAAAAAAGTTCAACACAGTGTTGTTCATAACAGCAAAAATTAGGAGACAATTTAAATGTTAACCAGTAGGGAATCAGTTATATAAAACAAACTGCATACCACTTGACAAAGAACAATGTTGATGCAGATCTCTATTTGTTGACATGGAAAGATGCCCACAGCATGTTGCTGTAAGAAAACAGGTTACGAAACCATGTACATATCTGTGTGTGCTCATTTGCAGTACTCCTAGGAGGCAGGATTTGGAGTATGTGCCAGTTGTCAATTTACTGTCTCTCAGCTCCAAATTCATATTTCATTGACTGCTTTGCAAAAATGGAGCTGGGCCCTTTATATATTTTTCCTTTGCCACATGTGTTAAACTTTATCAGTACAGAGCACTGAGCATACATTGCAGAAGGAAGGTTTTTTTTTTTTTTTTTTACTGGTTCTAGTGTGCTGCCTATAACCAGCAGCTTCCCTCAACACCTGACCCCGTGGGTGGTTTTGTAGCAGAATGCTTTTGGTGAGACAACTCCCTTTGCACAGCTTTCCCTAGGACCCTACAGAGCATATTTTGAGCAATTTTCAACAGCACAGCACCACATCAACTTTTTTACCATCCAGTAAACCATGGCCACACCCTCTCCAACAAGGTCTGGATCTCAGCTCTAAGAGGGAGACTCTTCCTGAGCACCCTCTCTCAGACACAGAGGTTGTGGTTTCTCCTTACATCGCTGTTCTTGTATCTTTTAGAGTTTTCTTTACTTCCTACTAGCCAACTCCCTATTACTCCAATCCCATTATAGTTAATAATTCTTTCCATTAAACTTTCCCTGCTCAAATTACAGTACAGTTTCCCCTGATTTGACTCTGACTAAGGGTAGATTTTTTTTTTCCCTTATACTTTTCAATGCTGTCTGAATTTTTTATAACAAGCATGATTTTTGACGATAATCAGAAAAAGCAAGTTCATTTTATTTTGGAAAAACCAAAGAAAAATTCAGTGTAAAATAAATATTACTTTAAGAAGTTTTTCTTTAGATGGTGGAAATATATTTATGAGTTTAGAATATGTGAATTCTGAAAAACATTCATTTGTGTAAGCCTCTATAATTGTTCAGCTTTTCTTTTAATACCAATTTCTTTTCAACATTATCTAAAATTGTGTTTCTAGGTCATTTTAAGTGAAAGAAATGATTTAGACTGCTATTCTTTTTCTCTTAGTTATGCCACATATTGGCCTTTACAAACAGATGGATCAGTCATGGGGCATCCTGGAGTGAAAGGTACTAGGTTCCTCAGACATTCAGCCTCTTTTGTTTTACTATTTCAGCCCCTCTTACCATGTTCAAGGATTATTAGTTGGGCTCCTGCTTGTGCATTTCCAACATCATTCTCAGCAATGCATTGATAGAACCCTTCATCTGATTTCACCAGACCCAAAACTTGAAGATTATGTTCCTTCTGAGGAAGAAAAACATAAATAAAACTTTTCTGATACAATCTACAGATATTAGTTCAAAATCTCAAGAGTATACTCTTTTTGGGTAGAAAAAACAAGTAAAACGTTATGTTCAATTACTAAATATTATCTACCTGTGTATCTGTCAATTCAATTTTATATTAAAATACTGGCAAGGTATTGGCCTGACTAGAATGATACATACTGTCAATAACAATGAAAAATTTAACACTTAGGAGAAGTCTTGCCTTCATTCTGCAAATTTAACTTTGCTTGGAAAAACATCTGGCATGCAATACCACATGTTACCCTAGCGAAAGTCTGAACTTGGAATTTAAGGTATTGTTTTCCTAAGATTATCTGTATGAGTAATATCAATTTGCTTGGAAAAACATCTGGCATGCAATACCACATGTTACCCTAGCAAAAGTCTGAACTTGGAATTTAAGGTATTGTTTTCCTAAGATTATCTGTATGAGTAATATCAATAATTCTAACAGATTAGACTATCATAAGTTAAATGAAGCCATATACATATGAGCTTTCCTTAAACTATAAAATACTGTATGAATGTCAACTATTAATAAAAAATAAAAATGCTAATTTAACTATAACAGGTTGCTTTTTAATGTTAAATACTTGTGAATTACTTTTTATAACATGAGATTATTCATTTAAAAATAGAAAACACATTCCTACTAAGAATGAATTACTTATCTGACAAATTTATAATGAGCTATTAAATCTTTAACAACCATAATTATTTCTGATCATTTTTATGAATGTCATGTAGAGATGCTAAGGTATGTCATTAATCCTTATTATTACTAAAATCTAGATAATTCTATTACTAGGATGCTAGATAATGACAATATAATAATAGTAGATTATATCTACTAAGCATTTACTACATTATGGTGAGTATTCTTTTTTTTTTTGTTTTTTTGTTTTTTATTCCTTTTTGTCTTTTTTACTGACCGGTAATGGGATCTCAACCCTCGGTGTCGCGCCCGTACTGGGGATCGGCAACGGGATCGCAACCCTCAGTGTTGCGCCCACACCGCGCTCAGCCAGTGAGCGGGAACCAGTCTCCACATGGGATCCAAACCCTCGGCGGGAATGCCGCCGCGCTCCCAAGCGGCGCACTCTCCAGTGCGCCACCGGGCCGGCCCTATGGTGAGTATTCTT